GCAGCCCTCGAAAGTGACGACAATCTCGCAGATCGCCGCCCCTAGGTAAAAGGCAAGCGAGAAGAGGGCGAGCAAAGAGAGGAGGAGAAGGGAAGCAAGAGAGGAGAGCAGGAACGAAGAGAGGAGGAGAGGGGGCGGGAGGAGGCGGGAAGGAAGGAAGGAAGGAAGGAAGGTGGAGACCGCAGTGCTCTATTCAAAACGAGTACCCAACGCAGGAGGGTTGGGACAAAAAAAACATATAGAACCCGGGGGGTAGGCCTACCCATAGGCCTACCCCCTACGCCTACCCATAGGCCTACCCCCTACGCCTACCCTAGGCCTACCCCCATAGGCCTGCCCCTAGGCCTACCCCCCAGGCCTACCCTAGGCTTACCCCTAGGCCTACCCCCTAGGCCTACCCTAGGCCTACCCCTAGGCTTACCCCCTACGCCTACCCTAGGCCTACCCCTAGGCCTACCCCCTAGGCCTACCCTAGGCCTACTACCCCTAGGCCTACCCCCTAGGCCTACCCCCTAGGCCTACTCCCTAGGCCTACCCCCTAGGCCTACCCTAGGCCTACCCCCTAGGCCTACTCCCTAGGCCTACCCGAGGCCTACCCGCCCGTTGAGGTTCACGCGTGTCAAGTGCACAGGCACTTGAATGTCCCGCCCGCCCGACCCGACCCGCCCGTTAGGGCCCGCCCGACCCGACCCGACCCGCCCGTTAGGGTCCGCCCGGCCCGACCCGCCCGTTAGGGTCCGCCCGCCCGACCCGACCCGACCCGCCCGTGAGGGCTCACGCGTGTCAAGTGTACACGCACCATACTTTAATGTCCCGCCCGCCCGACCCGACCCGCCCGTTAGGGTCCGCCCGGCCCGACCCGACTCGCCCGTTAGGGTCCGCCCGCCCGACCCGTCCAGACCCGCCCGTTAGGGTTCACGCGCGTCAAGTATACACGCACCATACTTTAATGTCCCGCCCGCCCGACCGACCCGCCCGTTAGGGTCCGCCGCCGCCCCGACCCGAACCCCGCCCGTGAGGGTTCCGCCCGCCCTCCCCGACCGACCCGACCCGCCCGTTAGGGTTAACGCTGTCCTCATCGAAAATGTTCGGTTGTAAGAGAACCGCCCGCCCCGCCCGACCCGCCCGTTAGGGTCCGCACCGACCCGACCGACCCGCCCGTTAGGGTCCGCCCGCCCTACCCGAACCCGACCCGCCCGTGAGGGTTTCACGCGTTCAAGTGTACACGCACCATACTTTAATGTCCCGCCGGCCCGACCCGACCCGCCCGTTAGGGTCCGCCCGACCCGACCCGACCCGCCCGTTAGGGTCCGCCGCCCGACCTGACCCGACCCGCTTGTTAGGGTTCACGCGTGTCAGGTGCACACGCACCATACTTTAATGTCCCGCCCGAACCCGAACCCCGACTCGCCGTTGGTTCCGTCCGCCGTACCCGAATACCCGCCCCGCCTGTTAGGTCGCCCGCCCGACCCGAACCGACACCGCACGTAGGGTTCACCAGACGTGTCAACTGTACACGCCCCATACTTTAATGTCCCGTCCCGCCGCCCGACCCGAACCCGCCCTTAATGTCCGCCCGACCCGACCCGACCCGCCCGTTAGGGTCCCCCGCACCGCCCCGACCCGAACCGACCCGCTTGTTAGGGTTCACGCGTGTCAAGTGTATACGCACCATACTTTAATGTCCCGCCCGCCCGACCCGACCCGCCCGTTAGGGTCCGCCCGACCCGACCCGACCGCCCCGTTAGGGTCCGCCCACCCGACCCGATCCGACCCGCCCGTCAGGGTTCGCGCGTGTCAAGTGCACACGCACCATACTTTAATGCCCCGCCCGCCCGACCCGACCCGCCCGCTAGGGTCCGCCCGACCCGACCCGACCCGCCCGTTAGGGTCCGCCCGCCCGACCCGACCCGCCCGTTAGGGTTCGCGCGTGTCAAGTGTACACGCACCATACTTGAATGTCCCGCCCTCCCGACCCGACCCGCCCGTTAGGGTCCGCCCGACCTGACCCGACCCGCCCGTTAGGGTCCGCCCGCCCGACCCGACCCGACCCGCCCGCCAGGGTTCACGCGTGTCAAGTGCACACGCACCATACTTTAATGTCCCGCCCGCCCGACCCGACCCGCCCGTTAGGGTCCGCCCGACCCGACCCGACCCGCCCGTTTAGGGTCCGCCCGCCCGACCCGACCCGCCCGTTTAGGGTTCACGCGTGTCAAGTGCACACGCGCCATGCTTGAATGTCCCGCCCTCCCGACCCGACCCGCCCGTTAGGGTCCGCCCGACCGGCCCGACCCGCCCGTTAGGGTCCGCCCGCCCGACCCGCCCCGACCCGCCCGTTAGGGTTCACGCCCGCCCAATGTAGGGTCCGCCCGACCCGTTACCCGGCCCGCCCGACCCGAATCACGCGCGTCAAGTGTACACGCCCGCCCGACCACCGCCCGTTAGGGTCCGCCCGACCCGACCCGACCCGCCCGTTAGGGTCCGCCCGCCCGACCCGACCCGACCCGCCCGTTAGGGTTCACGCGTGTCAAGTGTACACGCACCATGCGTTAATGTCCCGCCCGCCCGACCCGGCCCGCCCGTTAGGGTCCGCCCGACCCGACCCGACCCGCCCGTTAGGGTTCACGCGTGCTAGTGCGAACATGCTCCACACTTTAATGCCTACCCGGCGGGCGGGCAGGCCTATAGGAGTAGGCCTAGGGGGTAGGCTTAGGGGTGGGTAGGCTTAGGGGTAGGCCTAGGGTAGGGCTAGGGGGTAGGCCTAGGGGTAGGCCTAGGGTAGGCCTAGGGGGTAGGCCTAGGGGGTAGGCCTAGGGTAGACCTAAGGGGGAAGGCCTACGGGGTAGGCCTAGGGCGGGCCTAGGGGGTAGGGTAGGGGGTAGGCCTAGGGTAGGCCTAGGGGGTAGGCCTAGGGGTAGGCCTAGGGTAGGCCTACCCTCCGGGCTCTATATGCTTAGGTTATTGTGTAAGGCCTACCCTAGGTCTACCCTAGGGCCTTGGGTAGGGCCTACCCTAGGCCACCCTAGGGCCTTGGGTAGGGCCTAGGGTAGACTACCCTAGGGCCTTGGGTAGGGCCTACCCTAGGCTACCCTAGGCCCTTGGGTAGGGCCTAGGGTAGGCTACCCCCCCTGGGTTCTATACCAAAAAAACGGGGACCGGAAACGGCAACAGAAATGGCTCCAGGATTGGAACCGGAGCGGGAACCCGTAGTTAAAAGAAAGGCGACGACACTGGTAAACAAACTGCGTCGGAACCGGCAAAAAACTGCAAAACGGAACCGGTAAGAAAAAACGGCCCTGTCGTTTCCAGGGCCCACGAAGGTCTGGAGTGGCCTGGGTCAGTAGATCCCCGAACGAGTCCACACTCTGTGGGCGCCCGAGTGCGCCAGCTGGGTGCCCAGGCGGGGACAGCTGCCCGTGGCTGCTGGGCACGCCGTCCGCCGCCTCCTCCAGCGGCGCCGTCGTGCTCGTGACGTCGGCCCCTGGGGGCACTCGACCTGCTTCGGACGGGGCTAGGACTCCTCGTCCTCCTCCCCTCTCCTCCTCCGCCTCCTTCTCCTGCTCCTCCTCCTCCTCCTCCTCCTCCTCCTCCTCCTCCTCCTCCTCCTCCTCCTCCTCCTCCTCCCTCCTCCTCCCTCTTCCTCCTCCTCCTCCCTGTTCCTCCTCCTCCTCCTCCGACAACGACGACAACGACGACGACGACGACGACGACGACGACGACGACGACGAGGACAAGTCCGTTCCAGAGCGCTCTAAAACGCTCGCAGGGCGTCCCAGAACGCTCCGAGAAGGCCGCCGCGCCTTCCACAGCTGCAGGATCTCAGAGATTCTCGACTTATCCGTACGCAAGATTGGGATCCGCATCCAGTGCGTCTTGGGCCTCCCTGGGAGGGGCGACACGAGGCCGAGGCGCTCTGGGTATGGATCAAACTCGAGCCTCTGGGGGGCAGATGTTGTCCTCGACCTGGCGTCGTCTCACTCTTCCCTCCTCCTCCTCCTCCTCCTCCTCCCTCGTCCTCCTCCTCCTCCTCCTCCTCCTCCTCCCTCGTCCTCCTCCTCCTCCTCCTCCTCCTCCTCCCTCGTCCTCCTCCTCCTCCTCCTTCCTCCTCCTCCTCCTCCTCCTCCTCCGACTGTCCTCGACCTGGCTTCGTCCCACTCTTCCCAGGGGACCGCTCTCCAGCCCGAGCAGTTCTGTCTGCGGTCCTGGCTCCTGCAGGCGGCCCCCCGGAGAGGGCTCCTTTCGACCTGTCTTGGTGGTCCCCAAACGTGGTGGTGAGAACACACGGTGGTGAGTTTTGGGCGATTTGGGTAATGGTTTTGGAGCGATGGCTGGCCCAGGAAACGCAAAACCTCGTGGCGACCGCGTGTCCCCAAACCCGGTGGTGACCCAGAACTATTTTTGGGGGAATCGAGATCACCACCGGGTGTCTCACCACCTGGTTTGGAGACCACCAACTGTCCGACTCGGTTCGATTCGATTTCGATCGATTTGCATTCGATTTCGATGTCGGAATCAGGTGCGGGCTCCGATGTCTCGACGGAGGCCTTACGAGCCAGCGGATGTCCGCCGATTCGACTTCTCCCGACTGGGCTGTCGATTGCCGCCGATTCGATGCCACTTCGAAGGCCGATCCGACTTATCGATTCGGTTCTTGGCTTCTGCCAGGATATGAGGGTGGCGGAGGGTCGGTTGCCGGCTGTTGGGGCAGAGGCATCTGGTCGAATATGTGCGCGCCCTCGGACGATTCCTCTTCATTGCGTCCGACAATATTTTCGTCCGTTTCGATTTGTCCTGTTCGATTCATCCTCCTCGATTCGTCCGCTTCGAACGGCGGGCGAAACGAAAGTGGACGAGACGAAAGAAGACGAAAAGGACTTGGACGAATCGAAAGAAGACGAAACGAAAGCGGATGAAATGAGAAGTCCACCCTTTCGGACGCCTTTTTGGGCTCACATAGCTGCGGCTGTAGTCGCGCCCCGACGGTCCGTGCCGCTCTTCAGGCGCAATGGCGCCCGCACCAGATTGCTCCAGGAATTGTCGCAAGGCCACCCGCGGTGTGGGTTGCATTCGCTCTCTCTCTCTCTCTTGGTCTCTTTCCATCTCTCTCTCTCTCTTTATATCGCCCTCTCTCTCTCTCTCTTCCCCTCTGTCTCCCTCTCTCTCTCTCTCCCTGCCTCTCTCTCTCTCTCGTTCCCCTCACTTCTGAGATCTCTCAAGCCTGTCTGGCGCGCGCATGCCAGCCGCACCAGTTATCACACGTTGCAGGCACGACGGCGTGCGCGAGCCGGCCCCGAGGGCGCCGCGCGAGCCTCGAGCGTCCGTGCGGCTGCGGAGCGTGCTGTCATCGTTGTCGCTGTTGTCGTCGCCGTCGCCGTCGCCGCCGTCGTCGTCATTGTCGTCGTCGTCGTCGTTGTCGCTCGTCGTCGTCAACGTCGTCGTCGTCGTCGTCGTCGTCGTTGCTCTTCGTCGTCGTGCGAGCGAACGCTGTGGTGGCGCCGGAACCGCACGGCGGGGGGGGGCGTTACGTTGTGCCCCCCCGGCCCCCCTCCCCCCATGACGCCCGATATCGCCGCGAATAAAACACGCGCTCCTTCACGCAATATTTGCATCCATATCCAGTGCGTCTTGGACTTCCTTGGCAGGGGCGGCACAAGGCCGAGGCGCACTGGACTCACTGGACATGGATAGAACTCGAGCCACCATGGGGCAGATTCTGTCCTCGACTTGGCTTCGTCGTAGGCATGGGCTGAGTGCGTCGCATGTCCATCCCCTCCTCTGCGGCCGCTCTCCTCTGCCCCCCCCCCGCCGGTGCGTGCCCCGTCTGCGCGGCTTTGCCCCCTCTGAGGCCACAGACGCGGTGCGCAGTCGCCACTGTGCAGCCAGACATGCTCACAGGCGGTGTGTCTTCAGTCGATCCCGACAGCTGCGGTTCGGGTGGCGAGCCAGCTGCCAGCTCTCTCGCCACCTGGCTGGGTCCAGCTACCAGCCCTCTCTTGTGGTTCCGCGATGGCGTATGCCAGCTGCTAGCCCTCTCGCGCTGCCAGCTGCCAGCGGTCCTGCCCGCCAGCCTGGCAGCACACCTTGCTGGAACACCTGCTGCCCGGCTGCTCGGAGGAGGACAACTATTCAGATCCACACTGTTCTGCCCCCCACCCCGAAGCGAGTCTCGCCTGGAAGAAGCGGCCTTCCACTTCGGGCCCGGCGTGCCCAACTTGGAAGGCCACTTATTCGAGGCGAGGCAGAAGCCCTCGCCCCGGTGGTGAGCGCCCAGCTGCGGCGCTGATTCTCCTGCCGGCGGTGGAGGACTCGTCGGTCCGCCGCCCACGCGCGAGGGGCTGGGACCTGTGGAAACGTCCGGCTCTTGCTTGTGCCCCCCTCTGCCGTCGGGCGGCCTCTGGATCTCAGGGTGTCCCTGAGAGCCTGGCGTTGATTCGTTTACGACGAGCGTTTTGGCTCAATGCCAGGCCCCAGGACCCTCTCAGCCACGTGCAGAGGGGGGTGGGGGGAGGGGGGAGGGCTTCTTAGAAGCACCCCTGCTTCTTAGAAGGCGCGGGCCTTATCTGTAGATGTAAGGCCAGCGCCTTCTAAGAAGCAGGGGTGCTTCTAAGAAGCCCTCCCCCCTCCCCCCCACCCCCTTGTGCGCGCCGTCAACCCTCACAGATCGACCCGGCTCGAAAGATGAAACATGACGCAGATTGATGGGGTCCGGGGCTCCGGTCGTGCTTGGCCTGCGGTGCTGCCTGTTCGCTGCAGTGCCGGGTCTTGGGGCCTGGATCCTGGGATCTCCCGGGGGCCCCGCCGGTGGCGCCGAGCGCCCCGAGGTCGGCGGGCGCCTCCTGCTTGAGAGAGCGGCCCGCCCCGGGCCGCGGCCGCGGCGGCAGGCGCGGGGCCGAGAGGCGCCGAAGTGCCAAGGGGGGTCACCACTTGGGGGGTCGCCACCTTCTCCTGGAAATCGAGGTTCCAGGATGGAGAGTCGAGGGGTCGAGGATGTTCTTGGGCGTTTCTTTTGCGTCTTCGGGGCTCTGGGGGGCCCAGTTCCTAGGGGAAGTTTCGAGGAAGTGGCGTTTCCTCGAGGAAGTGGCGACCCCCCTAGTGGTGACCCCCCTTTGCACTGCCCCACAAGAGGCGCCGAAGTGAGGGGCACTCTCTCAAGCAGTGGCGAAGCGTCCCGGCTCGCCTATAGCCCCACCAAACAGTGTTCTAAGAATTTGTTGTGGTTCCCACGACATGGTCTTAGAAGATTTCTGGCTGGGACTGTCTTGTTATGACACATCGGATTCATGTCCTCAGAACCTTGTGTTTGTTCTTAGAACATCTTTGGGTTCGAAGAACATGTCGTCGTATGACTATAGGAATGCCGGGACGGTCGGTCCCTGCTCAACTCTCGGTTCGGGACAGATGTGTGGGGGGGGGGGCTCGGGCCGGGATCGAGCCACTCGTGGCCCGGGCTCTTCCAGTGTTGCGTTCGAGGCTCTGCGGCGTGCGAGCCGTGCCGCGGCTCCTGCAGACGGCGCCGAGGCGAGGGCGTGCTTGGGGGGGGGGCTCGGGCCTGGGTCTACAGTAGGAGCTCGACCACAAGAAACCTTCCACAAGAAACCCAACCCTGAGACCCCAGGGCGTCCCTCGATTTTGGGGGTGGGAACGCCATGCTTTCCATAGCGAAACCATCGAAACCCAAGAAGCCCAGGGCACCCTGGAGGCAAGCAGGGTGTTTCTTGGCATGGGTCTCCACCGTAAGTGTCGGCGGCGGGCCCGGGGGGAAGTGAGAAGGGGAGGGCCTTCTCAGAATGGTCGGGGGCCCCGCGGCCTTCCGAGAAGTTTTGCTAAGCCCTCCCCGAAAGCACAGGGCGCGAGGGCTTCTGATAATTAAGCCCCGCCGTCGTGGCCGAGAGGCTCTTCCTGTGCTGCTTTTTCGAGGTTCTACGGTGTTCGAGTGTGCCGCGGGTCATTCGTGCCATTGTGTGTGTGTGTGTTGGTGTGTGTGTGTGTTGGTGTGTGTTGGTGTGTGTTGGTGTGTGTTGGTGTGTGTTGGTGTGTGTGTTGTTGCGTTGGTGTGTTGGTGTGTTGGTGTGTTGGTGTGTTGGTGTGTTGGTGTGGTGGTGTGGTGGTGTGGTGGTGTGGTGGTGTGGTGGTGTGGTGGTGTGGTGGTGTGGTGGTGTGGTGGTGTGGTGGTGTGGTGGTGTGGTGGTGTGGTGATGTGTGTGTGTGTGCGTGTGTGTGTGTGCGTTCTGATGGCCCCGAGGCCCGCCCCGATTCCTTCGCTCCTCAGCGGGCGTTACCTGTCTCATCGCCAGGGTTGTGGTGGGTCGAACTGACAGGGGCTCCGCGTTCCTTCAGTATTTCACAGCCTGCCTCAGGCTTTCCTTATGTTTTCGATAGGAAATCAAAGTTTAACTTATGGAAAACAGGGGCCTCGTCCCTTATTGAGGGTTCCTTAGGTCAACGCCCCGACTGCACCAGGATAGCAGTTTGCATTCTCCCGCGCTGGTGGGCCCGAGCGGGGGCCGGTCACGTCGCGATTCGCGCTGGCGTCGCGCATCGTGGCGCGACCAGAGAAAGGGGCTGGTCACGGGCGTTCTCGCGAGTGAGAGAGAACGGGTTCTGACAGCATGTTTGAAGCAGTAGCGTTCGGGGTTCCAAAGCACTGCAGGCAGCAAGATCGCGGGTTGGGCCCCCCCCCTAAAAGCGGCGAGAGCCCCCGTTCTCGAGTGGTGTTGTCAGGGTGCAGGCATGCTGCAGGAGCGGGAGGCGGGGCGGGGGGGGGGGGAAAGAAGGTGCAGGCGGGCGTGAGGAGCAGGAGCAGGAGGAGGAGCAGGATGAGGAGGAGCAGGATAAGGAGGAGGAGGAGGAGGTTGAGGATCCGCATATGCCAAATGAAGTCTGAAGCTTCCTTTGGCGCGGACGAGAGGGAGGAGTTGCCCCCCAATCTGTCGCATCCCATGCGCATGTCGACGCTAAGCTGGTGAGACAACGCGGCGGAGGAGCTAGAGAGCTCCGAGGCCTGGCCACCTGCAGCCGAGATGCCATGCGCTTGAATTTCCGTGCGACATGTTGCCCCGCGCGGGACGGTGAAGTCAAGCAAAAGTTGTTCTAAAGTTATATTTAATCGCTTCGCTCATTCCGCCGGCCCATACAGTCTCATGTCTGCCGTTTGCCCGAGGGCCTGGTGTCAATGCGGCGCTTTGGGGGTTCCTGGGGCCGCTTGGGGGACTCCTGGGGCGCTCGGGGGGGCATTTGGGGGGCCTCCTGGGGCCGCTTGGGGGACTCTTGGGGGCCTCCTGAGGGCCTCGTGGGGGCCTCTTGGGGCCTCTTAGGGGCCTCTTGGGGCCTCGTAGGGGCTTCTTAGGGCCGAGGGCTCGAAATGTTGTTTCGTGTTCCCTCTCTGGGGCCCCTTTGGGGGCGTTCTTGGGGCCCTCTTGGACCGTCTTGGAGGCTTCTTGGGCCGTCTTCGAGCCCTCTTGGGCCATCTTGGGGCCCTCTTGGGGGCCTCTTGGGCCCTCTTGGGGCGATCTTGGGGGCCTCTTGGGCCGTCTTGGGGCGTCGGGAAGCCGAAAAGGTGGAAGCTCCAAAATCTCTCAAAAACCTAAGGAAAAACAATGAATTTTGCCTCCGGGGGCCCTCTTGGGAGTGCTCTTGGAGGCCTCTTGGGGCGTCTGGGGGCTATCTTGGGCGTCTTGGAGCGATCTTGTGGCATGTCGGACCCCTCGTGTACCATCTTGGGGGCCTCTTGGGGGCCTCTTGGCCTTTCTTGGGGCTCTCGGGGACGTCTCGGAGCCCTGTTGGTGCGCTCATGGAGCGCTCCTGGAGCGCTCTGGGGGACTCCTCCCGGGACTCTCTCAGGACCTTGCCGGGGTATTTTCCGCCCGGGGACCCCCAGGGGCCGCCCCGCGCGCGCGAACTAGAGAATTGTTAACCAGTTACCGGAGATCTTAGCACGCCTCTGGCCCGTTGGGCCGGCGAATTGCAAAAGTTGTTCTAAAGTTATATTGCAACGGTGTTG